CGAGCGAATAGCCCTGACCTATCGTAGCACAGATAACCAGGTCAAAATATGGGTCAGGGCGGGAACGGCCAAGAATGACATGAGAAGATTTCTCATTGAATACTTTGGTTTGTTTCTGTCTATTTCGTAAGAGCAAACAACATCAACAGCATCAATTCGTGCGTGATTCTGTGTATGCGATTGTGCGCGTTATTGTGCGTATGATTGTGCGTGTGGGTAATTGTGTGTGTGTATGTGTGTGTGTGTGTGTGAGTGTGTGTGAATACATGTGAATCATTTCACCATGCAAGTTGAATAAGATATGTGTATACGCCTGCGTTGGAGCCCCGGAACAACAACGAGTTGAGCTGACTAACACAGCATATGTAGTAATTTTTGTTGCAATATTATTATAAGCATGGCCGAATTTGAAACAAAGAAAATGGGCTACTAGCCGGGCAGAAAAATAGACTTCTACAAAATGTGACAGTGTAGCGTGCCATCTTTACTTGTATTTCCTTTGTTAAAAACATTGGTTCTAATAAACAAAAATGGTAAGGGCAAAAAATAATCAAATTCGACTTTTCAGGAACCAATCAATGCTATTTTAAAGCATACTATTCAAGTGTAATTGATTTGAAAAATTGAAAATTTCCACAGACTAATTAGGCAGGGTTTTTTTTTATAATATAATTAAGACCTTTTACAAAAATAATAAGGGTTCTCCATAAAAGTTCTTCAAAAGGGCTCTCCATAACTTTGTTCTCCAGGGCCTCCATACCTACAAAATGTAATCAAAATTTTTGATATTGAAAAATTAACTTTAAAATTAATCTGTTTCTCGAGTTCACAACACAAACAATCACAACTGAAATGAAACTGTGGCATGTTTATAAAACATTGCGGCTTAGGAGAATGTTTATTTATTATATTTTTTATTTTGAACATACCTCGATCGCTCTATTTCGCATTTATGTTAATAACTTTTTTTGTAGCTTTTGGCGTCTTATCATTATTATTATTATTATTTTTATTATTATTATTAATTTTATTATTGTTATTATTGATATCGTTATTAATATTATTATCCTAATTCAAAATGCGTCCCTTTTGATTAAATCTAATTGCTTCCCTTCATAGCGGCTGAGTGGATTATTATTATTATTTTTATTATTATTTTTATTATTATTTTTTTATTATTATTTTTATTATTATTATTGTTGTGGTTTTATATTTTTTTCGTTTATTTATTTTCTTCGGACCGAAGTTTCAAATATTTCCATTCAATTAGAATTCATTTTTTTTAATTTTATTGCTGAAAGTACTTTATTTTTCCTTGCATTGCAATTTCGCAATTTATTTTGTTTAAATAGTTATTGCTATTTTGGTAATTAATTAGAATTAGCATGATACGTTCACACGATTGTTCACTTTTTTGTTCATTTAGTAGTTCGTTCTTCTGCGTTGTTTGATTGTTCATTCATTTGTTTGTTCTTCCGTTCACTAGTTTGTTGATTCATTTTTTTGGTTTTATATTCATTTGTTTGTATGTTCCTTTGTTTGTTTGTATATTAATTTGTTTGTTCATTTGTTGTTTATCAACTTATTATCGTAAATGTCTGTTAATTAATTTTCAAGTGGCTTTTCAGACTTATATTATTTCATAGGTGTCTACATAATTAAAATTATGTAATTAGAACGTATGAAGCATGAGTATGCATATATGGGTTTTTTCCGGAAGTCACTCGCTCATTCATTCACTCGCTCATTCATTCACTCGCTCATTCATTCATTTTCTTATTGATTCACTTATTGATTCATTTATTCTTAGGTTGTCCAGTTTGTTTTTTCATTAATTCAGTCGTTTAATTATGTTCGTTGATTGGTTTTTCAATCACTTATATTCATCTATTCATTAATTTACTCAAGATGTGTGTATGCGGATGTTTATGCGTTGTTGTTTTATTTTACGGTGTGTTGTTGTTGGTGTGCTTGTGGTTCCATTACAACAATAGCAACAACGACAATGTCATTAGAATGAGATGGAAGTTTTTGAGTCACATGTGTTCAGTTTGTATCGCGGAGTATTTCGGTTAATGGCCATGTTAACTTAGTTAACCTTCTTGTTGTTGCATTTGTTGCTGTTTAAAAAGTGGTTGTTTTTGTTGTGTCGTTGTGTTTGTGTTGTTGTTTGAAAAGTGTGTGTTGTTATGTTTATTGCTATTTTTGTTGATGTTGTTATTGTTGATGTTTAAACCCATGCTGATATCTATGTCATTGTATATTTCACTGCTTGTTTTTGTTGTTTTCGTGTTGTGATGTTTTTTTTTGTTGTTCGCGTTAGTTGTTTTTGTTGTTGTTTATGACGTCATCGTAGATGTAGTTGTTAATCTTGTTGGTTATTCTGTTGTTCGTGTCAATCATGTGCTTTGAAAGGTTCCAAGACGTTGTTAGCAATGTTGGCTTCGTTTCTCTGTTGTGTTTGAATGATTTCGCTGCGCTGGCTTCGAATTTTGTTTAAAACGCAACATCGTTGGCAATGCCTGTTGACAGGATGAAAGATAAATCTAGAATCTAAATTTAGTGCCACTAGAGATAGAAACCCAATTATATTTTTAAACTTTTCAACATCTCGTCTTTGAAATTTTTCCATGTTAACGATGAAATATGTATAATTAATGATGCTGCTGCTGTTGAGTATGCTATGCTAGCAAATTAGTCTCTTCAGCAGGCTGTATTTATTTTGTGGTCGACATCTTTTGTCTTAATATTAGTAGTAGTTGTAGTAGCAGTAGCAGTTTTAGTTGTAGTACTAGTAATAGCAGGAGGGCTGAATTAGTAGAAGCAGCAGTGATAGTAGCAATAGTAGTAATAGTAGTAGTAGACTAAAATTGTAATAGTAGTAATAGAAGAAGTAGTAGTAGTAATAGTAGTAGTATTAATGGTAGTAGTAATAGTAGTAGTAGCAGCAGTAGTAGTAGTAGCAGCAGTAGTAGTAGTAGTAGCAGCAGTATTAGTAGTAGCAGCAGTAGTAGTAGTAGAGTTTTTTGTGTTTATAAAGATCATGTTACAATATAATGTATATTACGACTGCTGGTGCAGTTAACAAAATAGATGTTGCAAGGAAATGTTTTAGGTAGTTACATCTGACATTATTGCTGTTGACGATGATGACCTTTTTTTTTGATTGTTGTTGCTGTTGTTGTTTTTGTTGGATGGGGTTTTGAGTTTTGGGAAGAATTTTTGAAAGTTTTGGTTGGTTTTTATGTTTCGGTTGTATGTTAAGTATGGGACAGAAATTTTTTTCGTTGAAATTCAATTTTATATAATTTTGTAGATAATGATAATGCTGCTATTATCAATTTATAATAAAATTTTTTTATCATTTTAAACTCTATTTATAAATTTGTCACTTTCATGAGTGATTATTTTCGTTGCTAATTTTGTCGTCAACATTTTTGATTCTTTCAATTTTTCAAAATTTATAAAAAAAATATGTATGGTCCTTGGGATATTTTAAAGATAGCAGTTGCATGCAGGGAAAGATTTTTCCAGCTTTTTGCATGTACATATTATTATGTGGATGATTATTTAGGTTAGGAGGTTGTATATAGATGTGTTAAAGTATGTGTTAAAGTATGTGTTAAAGTAATTATGTAATTATAATGATTGTTAAGTTATAAAAGTAGTTCACAACGAGACTGCAAATTTTCAGACATAAAGCAGCTTAATAAAAGATAATATAACGTATCAGAGCATATAATACTTTGTATAATAAGAATGAGGGGACATACAATAGGGACTGACTTGTTAGAAGTTAAATGGTTAAGCTCTAGGGAACAAGGTATCCTGGTATGTAATAGGCGAGCACATAAGTTAAGAGATAAGTTAGAATCATCTCTTCAACACGCTTAAAACTCTTGAACACTACTTATAAACTTTTACACATTATTATTTGCGTTACTCTTTATATTTTAATTCTCAGTTTTAAGCTTTGTTACTTTACTCCATTAAAATATATTTAGTTGCAATCAAACAGTAAAGTTATTATTAACAATAATGAATCGTTTCTCGTTTAGTTTCGATTATTAAACTTTATAACATTTTAAACACTAACTAATGCACAACACACCTTAGTCGCCAATTGAAGTTATATATTCTTATTTTATATACATGAACAATATCGAGTTATTTAACGTTGAGCGAGGGAGTTTACAGAAGCAGAAATAATTTTCCCAAGAACAAACTACATTATGTTGTTCGTTCGGTAGCCGTCGTAGAACGGTGAAGAGCGAGGAATATAGCAAAATTAGTGGGATACAGATGATGGCGTTATTTAACAATTTCACACATAATGGCTAATGAAATTATAATTCAGGGCAGTTTAAATAGGAAACGAAAGAATGGTGAAATGATTAATTGGTGGAATTATTTGTATTATTTATTTAAATGTATTTAACCAATTGGTAACATTCATTTAAATTTTCTACCATGTTTGCCTTTTATTTTCACCGGTTTTCTTTCTATCCCAATATTTTCAAACTCTCATGTAAATCACACGTGCAATATGTCAGACTTTTTTCTCTCTTTTTTGGCGTGAATAAAAAAAACTGCATGTATGTCGCCGAAAGTTTAAAAAATTAAACTCATTTATATTTAAGGCCTATTGTAATATATCTAGGAGTGGCTTGATGAATGGGAGTCGGCTGGCTTAACAAAGCTTCGCGCTATTTATACAGTTATTTTTGTTTTAGTTTGAAATTTTTTGAGATTTTTTATTTTACAATTTGTACAAAGTTTTGCTGTCTATGGTGTTTTTTAAACGTGGTGCCTTACTTGTTTAAAAGTTAATAGAAATGTGTTGGCTTATATTGTCAATCATTATATATTATTAGTTTAAATATTCAAAAATCTGTTATAAATTTCAATTAATTTTGTCGTAACTTTTTTAAAATAATTAATCTGCCAGTTTATTCCTGGTCAAACCATCGATTGCATTTTAATTAAAAAACTAATTTAAATTTTGAAAATTTCTTATGTTTAACGACAGCAGCAATAAAAGTAATTATGGTTAATAACAACGCAACTTTAGAAAACCTTCTTTCTTTTAATAATAAAAGTAAAACAAATCAATCAATAACCATTCGGAACGTAATACGCAGAGCCCGCATTCAATTGCACGCACGGCCACCACGCTAAACACTGACACATCGTTTGCGTATATAATGGGTTTTGCATCCACATATTATAAGGTCATTTCGGTAACAATAATATCAGCTTTAACAACCAGCTTAACAACACAAATTTAACAATCTTACACAACCTCAGAAACATGAACGACGTCTTTTAGAAGGCTATTCAGGCTTTTTGAAATTGTTAAAAATTTTCTTTTCAGCGTAACGAAAGTAATTTTTGA